TTTTTTTTTTTTTTTTTTTTTTTTTTTTTTTTTTTTTTTTGTGGCTGGTCGGTCAAACCCTTGACCTTGGTGTTACAAGGCAGCGCTCCGACCAACTGAGCTAATCGGCCCACCTCCAGAATAGATTTTTAAGTCAATTTTATTGAGGGATAATCTGTGAGCACATTTATAATTTTTGTGTGTATATACTTACACATTTTATATAATATATACATATACAACCCTTATATATGTATACATTAGGGTGCTTCAAAAAATTTGTGGAAAGATACATATTATCTTTTAATTCTGTTTCTCCACAAACTTTTTGAGGTACCCTCATATATATGAGGTAAAATTCACCCTTTTTCATGTACAGTTCTGAGTTATGACAAATGCTTACAGCTATGTAACCACTGCCACAATCAAGACACAGAACAGATTCATCACCCCTGAAAATTCCCTCACGCCCCTTTGTAGTCGACCCTCCCTCACCCCTAGCCCCTGGCAGTCACTGCTCTGTTTTCTGTCCCTGTAGTTCTGCCTTTCCCAGAATGTCATAGAAATGGAACCATATAGTATATAACCTTCTGAGTCTGGTTTCTTTCATTTAGCATAATGCATTTGAGATTCATCCATGTTCTTGTATGTATCTGTAGCGTGTGCTTTTTCACTGCTGAGTAGTACTCCATTGCACAGATGTACCATAGTTCATCCACACATTCCCCAGTTAAAGGATATTTGGCTTGTATTAGTCTTTGGCATGGCAATTATGGATGCAGAGTAATGTTAAATATGTAAAATTAATGTGTATTATTTATTATAATGAGATACCACTGCACATCCAACAGAATGGCTAAAACAAACAAAACTGACAAAAGCAAGTGTTGGTAAGGATGTGGAGCAACTGGAACTCTCAAACGCTGCTGGTGGGAATGTAAAGTGGTACAATCACTGCAGTAGGCAGAATAATGACCTCCCAAAGATGTCCTCATCCTAATCCCTCAAGCCTGTGAATATGTGACCTGACATGGCAAAAGGGAGTTTGCAGATGTCATTCAGTTAAGGATCCTGAAGCGGAGCGATTATCCTGCATTATCTGGATGGGCCCAATGTCATCACGAAGTCCTTATAAGAGTCAGAGAAAGAGACGTAATGAAGAAAGCAGTGTTAGAGTGACACAATGGAGATTTGAAGACGTGACGCTGATGGCTTTGAAGATGGAGGAAGGGGCCACAAACCACACAATGCAGGTGGCTTCCAGAAGCTGGAAAAGGCCAGGAAACAGATTCTCCCCTAGAGCCCCCAGAAGGAACACAGCTCTGCTGACACTTTGATTTTAATGCGGTGAAACCCATTTTGAACTCTGATTTCCAGAACTATAAGATAATAAGTTGTGTGGTTTTAAGCCACTAAGGTTGTGTAATTTTGATACAGCAAGCAGAGGAAATGAACACAACGACTTTGGAAAGTAATTTGGTAGTTTATAGGTTTTATTTATTTATTAATTTATTAATTTATTTATTTATAATTACTTTTAAAATTTGGGGGCAGTTTCTTATAAAACTATTATATATATTATATAATAGTGTGTGTGTATATATATATATATATATTATATGTGTAATATATATATATGTTATGACCCAGCAATCCTAATCCTAGGTATTTACCAGAGAGAAACTAAAACATATGTCCACAAAAAGACTTGTATGTGAATATTCATAGTAGCCTAAACATAAGAAATTGGGTCAATATAGGACATAACTTTGTAGTGTTGTTGTAAGATTACATGAGATAAAACATGTTGAGTTGGGCCGGCCCGTGGCTCACTCGGTAGAGTGCGGTGCTGATAACACCAAGGCCATGGGT